AGGCCAGTGCTAGAGCCAATACACTGCCATGTGTATAGATTCACAAGCCTACCAAAACATACACAAAAACAACGTGTAACGGCACGAACGCGGACAGCATCTTGTGAAACATCCCAACTTGGGTAGTCTTAGTAGTGGGTGATGTTGGTGCCGAATCGCCAGTTCACAATCGTATCCAGTCTATACCGGGCCATCGTCGTCGTAATCTCCCGGATTTCCACGGTGATCGCAGTTTTTCGATCGGAGTATCCGGGGGCAAACAACCCAATCGGTTGTATCCACGTAAATGATTTGATCGTTCTCGACTTCTTCAGAGAACTGCTCCAGCATACTCGGAGGGATGCGCACACCTCGTGGCATCGAAGTAGTGCTTCCTTCGCACAGGAAGTCAAACCACGAGTTGCTGCGACGAGATGCGACGAGTAGCCATGACGACAACTATCCGATCGGTGATTTGATGAACGCATGGAGTTGTCACTTCGCACAGAAGTGTGCTACACTTAACTAGAAAGTCAATAGGCTGCTAGTTGAATATTAGGATTTAAATAGAAGTTAATAGGCTTGTATTTGAATACTAGGAGTTTAGTCAGTGCAAGCAAGGCAAGTCAGCGAAGTCAGTGTAAGTAAGTCAGTGTAAGCAAAGCAAGTCAGTGAAGTCAGTGCAAGTACGTCAGGTCAGTGTAAAGCAAAGCAGATAGATCGAAGCAAGCATGTGTGGGTGGTGTAGGCATGTGTAGGCAAGCAGCGCCTCTTTCCAAAGAACCCTTCGCAAAGCTTTCGGGAAAAACAGCTAACTCGAACAGAGCATTCGCTTCGACCCTCGCTTTAGCAGTTCTCGTTATGCAAGCTTGTCACTACAAACACACGTGTTCTGCACGACAAACCTGTTTTTCCAATCGGCGCATGTTGTATTTGATGGCGATAGATGTGGTCCTCCGGTTTTGCATATCATGCGTATCTCATGTACTCTGAATGCTGGGATCTGGGATTCTGAATTCTGCTGCCCACGGCTAGAAAGTAACTGCTGTAAACCAAAATCAGCGAGATCTGCGACACCTGATCTTCGGCAGCGAGCCTTCCGACAGTGTCGACAGCGAGGCACGCATTCCCAATCCACTGCCTCGTCATATTTATTGTCTTCACATGTCTTCACGGTAAAGATTGCGAGCTGTGCAGTGTTCTGCTCTTGGGGGAATCCAATGCCTCCTTGTGTCTGGAGCACCTTGCTGACCGAAAGGTCGGCAGCAAGGTCACAGCATTGCTTCTCAAAAACATCTTGTAAAGACGGGCATCGTGCCATCACATCTTCACACCTGACAGACCAGAACAGAACGATGCAGCACCTTCGCCTTGTCGTGCATGGATTTCGCTCTGACACCCCTGACGCGGAACTGTAGAAAACTTCGCCGGGACCACGGCACCGAAACCAGCGAGTCCACTGCGCAGCAGCCCCGAGATCGGGCAGCCAACTGACAGATGCAAAAAGGAGCAGCGAGCCGGGAGCGAGAAAGACTGGATCTATCTTCAGCCTGCGAGGCCCGGGAAGCCGTGGCTCCCGCCCTGCTTCCATCCTCCGAGAGGCTCAGGGTGAAGGCCTCCAAAGTTGGCGCATGTTGGCATCACGTTGCGGCAAGTGGCTCAGCAGGGTCACTTGGCATCCGGCAAGCGGCAATCGCCGAGAGGCACTTGGAGACAGAGACTTCCTGGCAAGCTACTGGAATCCGGTCGATCAACACAGCCTGGCATGCAGGCACCTCCCTCTAGAGACACGGTCCTGGAGCACAAGGCATGATCATGAGCAGTCGTTCTGCCTGTCTTTTCTGACCAGCCTTTGATGAACTCCGGCTTGCAGCTGCTCTCACAGGTGAGCCCTGACGACCTTTTCTCTCAGAAAAACAGCACAGTTCAGAGAATAAGCTCGTGGGAAAATTTTCCCAGCCTTCGGTTGGCTGAGGTTTCTCGGCAGCCTGGCAAGGCATTTGTTCTTGTTCGGAGCTCCCTGCAAGCCTGCAATTATCTTCAATAAGAACCTTTAACTCGACTTTGGCGCATCTTATCAACAAAGGCGACCCCCGGCTGATAACACTATGCAAACGAGAAGCTAGGAAGATTTCAAACGTATGTTTCTTTATCAAATCTACTTGTTGTAGAGCTGACTTGTTCAAAGTGGTTCCGTCTCGTGCGCGTAGGTTCTATTTCCAGCGCGTTTTCATTTTTTCCCATTGATTGAAAATCTTGTTGTTGTTTCCTTTGTGCTTTGCAAATTTCACCCAACCCAGTTGAAAGCAAAGACTAAAAAATGGAAACCACGAATCAGATAGCATCCACACATATGAAATCAAAACCCTGTTGACAACATGGATGCCAGCCCCCGGAGTTTGCTGTCCAGGCATTGGGGTCGCCAAATTAAATCGGTACTTTTTTCCATGGTTCGGTACTTTGTTTTCCATTTGTCCCCTTTCGTGTTCCCCTACTAGTACGAAGTGGATACTAGCAGTGACACTAGCAGTAGTCGTATTCGTAATATTAGTAGTAGTACTAGTAGCAGTAGTAGCATTCGTAATATTAGTTGTCGTAGTAGTCGTACTACTAGTAGTAGT